CTCTGCGGAGCAGCGTCGGGCATCGAAAGGGCACGTTGAGGTCGAGTTCCACCTGGAATCGTTGAGGAGCATCCCCCTGAAAGTAGGGCAGCCGGCAGTGGCTGCTGACCTTCATGGGAGCTGGACCGCCTTTCTGTGATGGATCCGTCTCCGCCAGCTGCGGCTGAAAGGAGGGCCATCAAAAGGAGCAAACCGGGCGACAAGCCGGCGGGCCTGGACGCAGCGCTCCTAGACCCCACGTATTAAAGAAGCCCGTGTGTGGGAGAAATCTGCTGGCGCCGTCGCAGAAGCCGAAGCTGCCCTGGAGCGGAAGAGAAGAAGATGGCTCGGCGGCGACGTCCCTTGCAGTGTCTCCTCGGGCTCTAGCTCGGGGAAGGGTCGCAGCAGGGAAAAGCCCGGTCTGAGGACCAGGACAGAAGAGTAAGAAGAAGAAAAAGAAGCGGCAGAGCCGCTCGCGGGAGGCTGCTAGGAAAGGCGACCGTGGCCCGTTTGGTCGAGGGGTCAAGGTTGCCTTGGGCGATGTCGGCTGCTCGTCGGAGACGTCTTTTCGCGAAGCCTCCATGCCTCGCGACCGGCCGACAGAGCACTCCGAGAAGTACCCAGGGCGGCTGTCGGCTCGTCTTCCGCACAAGATGCGAATGCTGCTCGCAGGGGATGGGGGGGATGAACTTCCGCCCGTGGCTTCAACCTGTACCTGAACACCATCTTGGCGCCGGAGTTTCGGCTTTAGAGAGCTGAAGAGGGGGAGACGCGGCGCGCCGCAGACATCCTCGCTCACAGGGTGAAGGCCGTCGAGGCCGCTCTCCACGACGACAACTGGCTGAAAGCCCAGTTCGTGAAAGAGACGAGCCGTTACGGCCGCCCGCCAGCTTGCCTTGAGTCAAAGGTGAAGGAGGCATCCCGGAAGGCATGGTGGGGCCAGGGGAAGGGCAGGAGGTGAGGAGGAAGAGAAGGAAGAGGACCTCTTTCCGCTGCAGCGGAGACGACGCCGGCCACGGCCCCAGGCGGATGAGCTGGAGGCTTTCGGCCTCAGCTTGAGCACGCTGCTTGGTGGAACCTTTATAACACCACCTGAGAGCGGGTCCTGGATTGGCTCAAGCCGGTATAGGGACTATGAGGGCAACAGTCATTGCACAAGGAGGGTGAGGCTGCCGTGGCAGATGTCATCGAAAACCTGGAGCTGCAAGGTTCTCGGCCCGAAGCTCTTCATGAAGCGCGGGACGCAGGAGCAACCCAGCTGGACCTTCATTTAGTGGGAGGATCAGACAATCTCACCAGCGGCGCGGCTTCAACCTCTTCAAGATGCCAGATCTGTGACTGGCATATTTTTCGTACGCCAGAAGGTCCTCGGCCGCATCTTCGGCTCCAGTGAGGCCGGCTCTAAGGGTCATCCCTATGGACTGGTCCTCTGCAGTCACCACGCAGGCCATCATCAGAAATTTGGTCTTTGCCAAAGCAGGGTGCCGGAGTCCTTGGAGGTGGCAAAGATCAAGGAGTTACCCACTGAGGGCGGAGCCATCCTGTATTTGGACAAGTCAGGATGACCGAAACGACTCTTCGAGCTGTGGAAGAAGGTGTTGCCAGTTCAGAGCATGAGAGATCGCCGCGTGCCTTGAAAGAGGACTCCCACCCAATGCCTCCAAGGCCTTTAGCGGGTGCCGCCAGGGGCGGCGTCCAGGGAGGCATCATGGACGGGGACACGGGCACCCCCGCTGTGCGGACGGAGAAGTCCGAGAAGCTGGTGCTCGCCACCTTGGGGCTGTTAGCGGCCACCTCGCTTCGCTCATTGGTTTCCAATCTCCTGTTCGGATGCCTGTGTGTGAGGCGGTGGCGCTGCGGTGGACCAGACTGCCAAGAAGCCCACCGTCGCAGCGCTGAGGAGGATGAAAACGGGGTCCGGTCTGTGCCTGCTGCGATGGGGCGAGGGCGGCCACTTCTACAAGTGCCCGGCGCTGCTCCTTTTGTTTGGCATCGATTGGGTGACACACCTCCCGCCTTGCCCCCCCCCCCCCCACAAGGCGGATTGCCATGAACACTTGCGGCAGGAAGGGGCCTGGTATGACTCCTCCGGGCTGTGAGGAGATCACGCTGCCCCGGCGGTGGTGTGGCACCTTTGCCCTCGCCATCAGGACGGATATCGAGGAGGTCTGCCCTCGTCCCAGGGAAGCTTACGGATCGCACCCTCCACTAGCAGTTGACGGCCCAGCTTCGAGGTGCGACGGCAAGCCTTCGGTCACCCCCTGCGGCTGAGATGGTAGCTGAGGGGCTGGCGCCGATAGCGTTGAGATCCTTGAGGATTCCAAAGAGGCATCTCCCCCGGCCACCATCGTGGCACCGAGGTTCGCCCCATGGCTCCTCGGACAACTGCTGCCTTACCCGGCACACCTCTGGAGGTGGAATGAGGTGGAGAAGCATGTTGTCCTTCCCGTGGCAGAACGAAGACAACATCTCCACCTTGGAGATGTTGGCAGCCCTGGCAGAGATAAGGGGCGCCCTGCGCGGCAGTTGGGGTCCCAAGGGGCCAGGTTTTTCCATGTCTTGACCACGTCCTAGCGAAAGGAAGGGCACATAGCCAGCACGAGGCTCAATCGGTTGGCGAGACGGGTGATGGCAGTTCAGCTTGTGCCTAGCTGCAAATCTTGGCACTCTGGACCACATCAGCGTGGAGCTTTGCTGATAAGTTTTCCAGACGCTTTGCCCTTGCCCCGCAGCATGGCCCCTAAGTGGTATCTGCGCTTCCATGCAGGGGCTGAACACCAAATCCCGTGCCAGCTATCGCCGAGCCTTGCTACGCTTCTTCGCCGCCCTTGAAAAGGAGAGCCTTCGCATGCCTACCACGGTGAAGAATGAATGCTTCCATCACCCGGGTATGCAGGTGCGTGCCGCCGTCTCGGCACGAAAGAGGTTTCTCCCCCGACTGCGGTCAAGACTTTACAGCGCCACCATACGCCACCCAGCTTTACTCCAACAAGCCTTGTAAGCCAACCCCTTTGCCTTGGCCCTTTGTCCAGGCCATGGCAGGTGTTGCCTTTCCAGCCGGGCAACAGCGCCCTCCTCTTGCAATTTCTTTCTTCTTCTTGCGTACTTCTGAAATTAACGGCTGAGAGCCCGAGAGAAGAGACGTGTAGTGCCTGCGTTCCGGACACGTCGTGGTGGCACTGCCCCACACCAAACCAAGTCGGGGATAGTCGGGGCAGGGCGCAAAGTGTTTCACTTTTTGACCTTTTTTTGTGTGCCAGTCACTTCCTCAGTGGCTGGCATCGTGGGTCGCCGACGCCCCTATCCTTGACTGCTCGGTGCAAGTTTTTCGGTCAAGATTCCAGAAGCTTGTCGTCTTCCTGGGCTTCCCAGAAGGCACGTTTCTGCCTTCTGTGGCTGAAAAGAGGGGGGGCCGCGTTTCATTGGCAAACCTCTCAGAACTTCGAAGCGACAATGCTCATGGGAAGATGGGCGGACCAAAAGAACTGCCACATCTACCATGATGACGCTTGCGCAGTGCTGGTGCAGCAACAGCCTTTGGTGTCTTCCCTTCCGCACCTCCTTTTCTTCATGCAGCAGCCAATGCCTGCGCATGCCTGCGCAGAAGCATAAAAGACTAGCGCCGCACGCTCGAGTCAACCGATCCGCCGGTTCGGGACTGGGGAGCGCTGCGAAGTTGGGAGGCGCACCGAGGTGCAGTGTCACCGTGGCTTTCCCGAGTTTTGCCGAGAGCTCGTTGGCCCTCGGGGCCCCTCGGCGTTTCGCGTGCTGTGGTACGTCCACGATGTGCTGACACAGACCGCTGCCTCGGTCGCTAAAGACGCGCGGTTCTTGAGTCCAAAATTATACTGATTGGCAAAGGGAGGGACTGCGTGCGTGCAGAGAAAAGCTTGCAGGCTCGAGGCAGCCGGAAATGCTTCCGAAGCAACTCGGCTTTTTTCAGCGTCGAGGCTCAGGACAACAGCCGAGCGCTGCCAGCGGTTTTGCCGTCACTTCGCATCTTGAGAAAGTAGGCGATTGCACTTTCGATTCATCTAAGTCTAGATTGGACTGCAAACTCCTGTAGTTTAGAAGTAGGTGCCATCAAAGAAACCCTCACTGGAACCCCAATTTCCACCAGCCCCACCGTCCGGTCTAAGGTGGAGCTGCGGCTTGCTTGCCGGGAGGTGCAGCAGAGCTTGGAGGGCTTGGCACGCTGCTTAATGTGTGGCACACCGAGCCTTTCGGCCGAAAAAGCAAGAGGGGTCGACACTCTTAACATCAACCGTCTTATGGACTGGCGCAGAAGGCTGTGAACCCTGCTGACAGAGCTGAGCAACCACTGATCTCCTGCAGGTTCTGGACATAGGCTTGCAATGAATCAGAATCATTCTCCTGAACTTTCGGCCCTGGGGTTCGAGTCAGTGTTTCAGCGCTTCAGAGTCGCAAAACGATTCGGGTTCAGGATATCGAGCTCCGGGCCTTGAGGTTCGAGGGCGCAGGCTTCAGGTTTGCTGACTAAAATTTTATTTTTGATGGCTTTGCAGCTTTCGAAGCTTATCGGTGCGCCATTCGAGCTGGAGTTGACGAACACGAGGTCAAAGAACCGTCTGCGGACGTGGCCATTCTGGCCCACAACTCGGACCAACCAGCAGGAACTGAGCCCTCAGTTAGTCGTCGTCGTGATGATGATGTCGCCGTCTCGCAGTAGTCATGGTAATAGTAATATATGGTAATAAATATGCGGGAGACGAGGAGCAGTAGCAGCTGCAGCAGTATAGCAGTACTACGACTACGGCGCGACGATTACGGCTGTTTTTTTGCTGGACTTGCGTGGCCTCAGTGTACAACTCTTAGTGCCAATACTCCTCTTGCTGTTATCGTGCGGCAACACAGTGTTCGAAGGTGCAACTGAAACTGCGCTAGTTTGGGGATGCCAAATATTGTACCACATTGTGGAAAACCAAAGACTCGGCTAAGGTGACCTGTCACTTCGCGTGCAGCGTCAGCCGGAAAACCCGTTTGACCAGCTGCTGCCCTTAATGAAGGATGCGAACAACGTGGTGCTTTGCAAAGGGGCTCGGATCTCAGAGGTGTCAAACCCTAAACTTTAAACCAGCACTGCATCAATCTGTTCGCGCAGCATCCTCAGGTGCCACCAGATGAGTACCTACCTCTCAATACAATCTGCTTCACTGTCAAGAAGTGGGACAGTGCGGATGATGTCCAGTGACCAGGCTTTTCACATTTCAAGCTTTGAACCCCTGGAAGCGTCACGGGAGTTATAAGGACCGTGAGTGTTGATGCTGCATCGACAATGCTGGCACAGCGATACCCGGCTTTGGCATGGGGGCAGCTGAGACTAAGCTTGTCAGAGTGTTCCAGAGTCTAGTTGGCATTGGCGCTCAGTCATCTGCTACGCTTCTTTTTTTGCCTCTTCTTGAGCTCGCTTACGCTTATGTGGACGAACAAGGAAGAGTATCCTCTGCGAACACACCCGAAGTGCAGCTCTGTTCTGCAGATGGTCATACAGCAAGATCAGTAAAACTGCGTACAGTAGCGCGTGCCACAGGACCACAAGCAGTAGTGGTGGCAGTCTCGAGAGCATGTGTTCGATTATCAAGGACATCATATATCTGCTGATGTCAATGAGTCCACTAACGCCCACATAGACAGCACCAGGACGTCGATCTATGATGTATGACTGCTGGCAAGCAAGACTGGAGAACATCACAAACAGGCTGCTTTGGTGTTCCGCCCCAAGATCATAGACCATCATCGCTTGCGTTAAGACTAACACGCGACACTCTCAAAAGAGTCGCCGTTCTCCAGGCGGTGGCCATCCAATGAACCTACAACATGCAACAAAAGATGAGGCAAGGTAGGAAGGCTTAGTATAATTAATGCAATGCCGAATAGGCCAGGGTTGACCAAAGCGAATACATCTATGCGACAAGAAATGTGAATACCTTTTGAGATCTACACAACAGTAGAACAAATGGCAGAATATGGCTGCGTTTCAGGTATGTAAACCTGCAGCTAGCGACTGGGCGATTGCGCTGAGTGCTGGAAGCATGTCGGCTTTGGACATTGCCATCGCAATGCTCTCCGGCCTTCTGCTTTGTTTTCATTGTTGATTGCCACATCGTCTTTCTCGTCAAGATTGGAGAACGGTTTCCGAAGTTGTCATTGAGGTTCCTCAATCCTGGAGATACCATCCTGGTAGAGGAGTCTCTCGGCTCCAGATCTCGAAACAGCGATCAGCCCCTGAGCAGCTTGCGGTGCCAGGTTTACATTCTTGGCAATGATCAATGCCTGTGTCGCCGCAGGACTGTGCTAGCCTTAAGTGGTCACGTGAACGTGGGGTAAGATGTTGCACGTAAGAGTGCACCAGCGTTTTCTTGCGGGATCTCTCATTGTGCTTCTCTGATGCCAAGCTTTGTGTACAAAAGGAGGAGAACCGTGTTCCGAGCACAGAACGTTTTGCAGAGACTTGCAGAGTGGCCCTGAGGCGCTTAGTTCCGATCTCCTGCGATTCCAGCGGCCTTTGCCCAGAGTCGCTGGAGCTCGTGCTCGGCTCCGAGCGATCTGCTGGACGTGTACCAAAGGTCCTGTACACTGTCCCGGTGCGCCTTGCAGCGGATCGTGCTGCACTCTTGAATTTCTGAAATTCCTCTGTGAGGGCATGTGCTGGTCAGGTAGGCCAAAACCCCCTTGGGACGCGACTTCCCGCTCATCGGTATCAAGCCATCTATGATTTGTGCGGCTCGCCTCAGACATTGGGAGATCGAGCGACGCTTTTAGCATCTGCTTGTTGAGTCAACCGAGGCACCGAGCATGGCGTCGTCATCTTGGAAGACGACGCATATTTCTACCAGCAGCACAATGCCCATGATAGCTTGGCTGATGATGACGGCTCCGCCGTGGGTGAACTGCAGAATCTGGGGGCCACGTTTGTCTCTATTGACCACAAAGGCCTGAGGGTTGACAATGGGGAAGAGCTGTGTGGAGGGACAGCGCAGAGTGAAGGCAATGTGCACCGTGCACCGATTCCGAGGCATGGTCTTCCGCCTGGAGTCCTTTGCAAAGATGTTGGCCCCGGGTTTTCGGCTTGGCTGGGTCACAGGTCCCAAGCGCTTCATCGAGGCGCTAGGTTGAAGAAGGGTTCTTTACGGATCAGATCGAGTGGAGGATGCAACATAGCCGAGTCGACTGCCCAAGGCCTACGAGAAGCTGTGCTACATCTCGACCCAGCAGGGCAGTTCTCTGGCTATGGTTTGCCTGGCCTCGCTGCTGTCACAGTGGGGCAGAGACGGATTGCAGGCCGATTGGAAGGGACCCGAGGGGAAGAGGTTTAGCAAATCCAAGCAGATGTAAGAGGAGCTCTTGTTCGTGTTTTGTATCAAGTCAGGCCTCCAGTAGTGCATTCTAGAAATCTCTCGAAAGGCCCAACTTCGGTGCCTGCAACTGGGCCTGCGGCGGCGCTGCCGCGCGCTCCTGCGTGCTTGCGAGGCACCTGGTCTAGCAAACATTTGCAAACAGAGTCCTCTTGAGCGCGGAAAGCCCCTGCAGGCACATTTGTCGGACTTGGCGACTTGGGCAAAGCCGCAGGTGGGCTGTAAAGCGCGTCCACTTGTCGTAGAATTACCTTATTGCTTTGAGGCTGGCATGTTCCTGTGGCTGAAGATGACCCGGCCGACATCGACTTTCTCCAGTGAGGCTCTCGTAGAGAGTCCGGAGCCCGGAGCCGCAGTGCACAGCGCCCAGTTGCAATCAGCTTGTCGACGGAGGCATGCAGCGCCATGGCGTCGTTGCCATGCCCGGCTCCTTCTGTTCACCAGAGCCAGGCCCGGGAAAAGCGTGTGGCACCGTGCCCGCCTGCACCTGCGTATCTAAGCTGTTCTGAGCATGCTTGAGCCGATTCGCGTCCTGTCGTGTCGATGCGCTGCCAATTTCACGCAAGCATATTCGTTTTCAATATGACGAAGAAGTGCGGTGCTGGCTGACAAGACGTCGGCCGTCAGCCCATGCAGAATTCTCGCGCCTCCTCGAGTGCTGGGGCAGAGGAGGATCCACTGATAGATGCAGTCGATTTCGACCTCGCGCCGGCACCCACGGGCTGCATTCGTGGGCCGGTTCAAAACTTGTTTCTCCATCAGACGAACCCTCGCTTTGCAATCAATGTGGAGCTGGCTTTTCGAGGAGCCTTTTTCCTGCTAATCGCAGGAATACCCGTGATCGTGCCTAGCGGGAAGTGGCAGGTAGTCGACTACATGATCCACTCCGGCATCTATAACAGCAGCGTCTGCTGTTTCATCATCTTCAACTTGGGTCGCACGTTCGGCGAGGCCCTGAACAAAGTCAACTCCGGCTTTCGCGGTACCTTCGCTGCTGCCGCCATTGGATGGAGCCTCTACACCATCTGGCCTGATGGGTACACAGAGGAGTCTGGCGACCTGGACTTTTGGCTCATTGTGGCCATCGGTACTGTTTATGTTTGCCTTGTCATGCTTCTGAAGCTGGACGTGTCTTTCCAGATGTTCGCGATTTCAAACTTTGCAGGCATATGGATGGACATTCTAAACCCCGCACATCGAGCCACGATCACACCGCCGTGGGCCGGGAACTGGTCGGTGGAAACAGACGACTTGTTGACGCAGTTAATTCGCACTTTTATCGGCCTTCTGACGGTTACAGTGGCACTGCTGCTTCCTTATCCGCTTTGGTCTCTGGTCAAAGTCCAGGAGAACCAGCTCGTCTTAAATACTCGACTAACGCAAATTTTGGGGCTGATGGTGAACCTATACTGCCAGGACATGCCGAAGGATTACGAAAAGGCAGAAGTTCTGAAGCTTTTCCAGGGCATGAAGTTTTCGTCCGGTGAGAACGATCCCTTGATTGCGGAGGCATGGTGGGAATGCTTTGGATTTGGGAGGACGCAGCTTAAACGGCAGGTGCTCTTTTCCATGAGCCAGACAACCCGGAAAATATACCTTCTAGCCTTCAATGCTTGGACAGTATCCTCCGATCAAATCAAGAGCGGCAAGGATGCTGAGTTGATGCGCCTCGTGAAGGACAAGACCGAAAGTGTTCTCAAAGAAATGGGGAGGATGCTGGACTTGCTGGTGAAGGCAGCGGAAGATGGCAAGTTCGATCCGAATGAGGCAAAAGCGGTGAAGACCTGCAAGGGCAATTTAGAGCGACTGGAGAGGGAGCTCGCCTCCCATTTCCATGCAAAGAGACTCGAAGTAGCTCAGAGGGCACCCAAACTCACTGGGGGCACTGCTGAGTCGATGTACAAGGAAGTACGATTCGCCCAGGTTCTCACGTGGAGCATCAGCCGCATTGTAGGTGAAGTGATTCAGCTTGCTGACGGTGTCTGCAAGTTCTCAAACGGTGAAGCTTCCCTTCCGCCTCCTCCAGATTCTGCAGGCTTCCTGGCTGTCTTCCAAGGTGGGGATGTCGCAAAGAGTAGGGTAGCCTAGCAAGCTCTTTCCTTGAAGCGGATACCTGAAGGGAGTGCTTGTCTGGAAGAAGCCCTCCCTCCAGGTGTGGCAGAGAAGGAGCACCTTCTCTACGCGTGGCGGGGAATCAGCTCGTATCTCCTCAGTTTCATGCTGGGCTATTTTGGATTCAAGCAGATTGTTCCTCCGTATTCTTCGGGTATAGCCGCAACGGCCCCGCTCCTGCTTTCCATGTATGTTGGCTCAGCACTGGTGAACGACTTGAACCGAATACAAGGGCTAATGATCGGAAATGTTATTGCTCGAATTCTGAGAGGTTTGATCGACGACTGTGATCCCGCCGATTTGGTCACCCATGCTGTCATTACATTTGCATGGGTATGGACTGGCCTCTTCGTCTGCTTCCACTCGCGCTCGTACTCAACGATAGGCGTGCTGGCGGCAGCTTTCGGGGCACTTACCCTGCTCGCCGACAGCTGCAACCATCTGTCGGACAATGTTGGAAAGCGCGCAACTTTCGATTCACTGGCGATGAACTGCATTGCCGTTATGATTACAATGTGTGCCGACTTCATGTTCCAGGCAGACCGTGCATCCGACCAGGCACACAAAATCCTGGACAAGTGCTGGAGTAAGATTCACGACTCGCTTGCTGGTCTTCTCAACCCCGATGTAAAAACGGTGGCCTTCGAGTCTGCAAAAGCCAAGGAACTGCTGACAGAAGCCATGCACATGGGTCAAGAGGCGAATTTGGAGCCTCGCTTCTGGCGTACCATCTGGCATCAGGAGTTGTTCACCGGTGTCTGCCGAGCGACAGATGCTCTCATCGTTGCAACTGCTGCTCTGGAGTCTGCCATTGCGGAGCACGGGAATGACGCGGATGCTAAGTTTGCAACTTTTGTTGACCTTTCAACGCCGAGCTCATCCAGCGCGACCACAGGCATTTTTGGTAGCCCAGGGGAGGTGGGGCCGGGGCGTTCCATGTCACGACTTGAGGCCAGTGAAAGCATCCGAACGGGAACTCGGGTTTCAAGGGACCCTGTCAGGTAGACGTCTTGCGAAACTTCAAGGCCGTTCAGAAGCTTCTTCACATCTTCGTGCACGAGACCGTGCGCAAATTTGAAGGAACGTTACACGAGCATCGCGACACCGGCAACGAAAACAAGCTGCTGAGTGAGAGTGAGGTGGAGACGCAATTCATCAAGCGAACCGTGCCGAAGTTTTTCGGCGTTCAAGACCAGCCGCAGGACAAGATGTCCCACGATCAGATGGCAAACTTGTCGGTCGTGTTCGCTGGGCGCATGCGAATCAAGGATCTTCTCCGAAAGGTTCAAAAAATAATATTGGCAAGCCACTGGGAACAATAAGTCACCCTGTGGAAAGCCTGGAGCTCTGAACTGCGCCACCTTGCAAGCTGAAAAAGAAGTTTTGCTGCAGGGAGAGTGTCAGGCGAGAGTGGAAGAGGAGAGCCCCTCAGTTCTGCGTTGCAGGTCGGCCAGTTCCCTACCTTCGCCTGTCCTTCGTGACGCCGGAAGACAGCTACCCGGAGGGCCTTAAGCGCTTGAGAGAGGCCAGGAGGAGGCCAGCGGTCCGAGTCCGGGCGCTCCATGGCGCTCCGAGGTCCTCCTGGAGCTCAGCCTCCCGCTGAAAAGCTCCGAGGAGGTCGTTTTAGAACATGTCCGCCTGCGCTGCACCGAATGTGAGACTTTCATGAGTAGTCGTTCCTCAGGCATATCCTTCCGGCTGATGCACTGCCAAGCTGCTGCGCCTTTGTGTTTCGACCAGCGCCCCTCGCGACAATGCGCAAGTCTGTGGAGAGTGGATAGTGTCAGCGATCGTGCTGGTGGTTACGGGCAAAAAGCAAGTTGCTGTGCTCCTTGCAGAATCAAGCTCGAATGGAATGCATGGAGCAAGCAATCTCTTGTCTGCACAAGTTTTCGTCTTGACTGCAAGCCGTCGTCGTTCTTAGAGCCCTAGAGCTCGACATAAAAGCCTGCGCATGAGGGCAACAGCGGCGATCGTGGGGCACGAGATGTCCCAGGAGGCTCCTGGCATCAACAAGCAGCGATGCAGATTTGGGAAATGTCCTGGCGCTGCTGTGCTTAGAGGGCAGATGCGTGTCAGGCCTGGGATGAAAGCCAAATGTTGACTATGCAGGCTGCGGCCGGGGCCGGGGCAGCCTTTTGGTCTGATTTTCCACTTGTATGCTCATGCGGACCTTCCTCACAGGTCGTTACTGGTGTGCAAGGCCTTTTGGAAAGGCACCTGATTGCGTAAGCTGGGCGTAAATCGGTGCCAGGCTTGCTTGCCACATCTCAGTGCAAACCAGCTTTCGGATCAAAGCTGTCGAGCTTCCACACTCGAGCGACTTGCGACATCCAGATCTAGCAGATTCTAGCATTAGCGATTTCTCTCCGCCTCTAGACGATCCCTCCGGCTGCAGTCAATGCTGCATGCACCATGCGATGCCTCAGCGAGCACTGCGAGGCGAGTGATGCTGCACAGATTGCATTGTGTCAAATCTACACTGAGTGTACGTGTCCGGTTTCGCTGAAGGGCAGAGGTTTTCATCTACATTTCAGTTAGCCGCTCTTGTCCGACAGAGGTGCGACCGGCTGACCAGCTCCAGACAGGCGCTGCGCTGTGGACACCCTTGCCCTTGCACCACAAAGCAGCCTGTCGAGCAAAGAAAGACCGCAAGACATGGACCGTATCGAAGTCGCGTCAAGTACTGTGGGCACCTTTGGACGATGTGTCGACTTGCATGGCGAAAGTCAGGTGAGCACCTTCTTCAACTCGGAAACCGTTCTGCAGACTGCTGTGCCGCAGCGGCGCACGCTGCGCACAGAAGGCGGGCCCTTTCGTCATGCAGGGCTTATACAGTGTCCACCATACCTTCGACACCTTCTCAGGGTTTAGCGGATGGTTCCCGAATCCGGATGAAAAGCGCGTGGAGCCGCCAGAGGCCAGCACTGGCCAGCACATCTCTCTGCCTGTTCAAATTGCTTGGTGTGCTCCGAACTGTCCCACGCGATTGAACAGGGCCAGGAGGCAATGGCCATCCAAGAGGCAGAGAAGGAGGAGGTTCGGGCAGGGAGCGGTAAAGGAATGCGCACAGACATCTGCACCCGAGCAGAGGAGCACGAGGAAGATCCTATGTCAAAGGCTTCCTGGCGTGAAGCGAGACGGCGTGAAATGGGAGCCAGGGAATTCTGCATGTCACTGTTCTCGTTTCAGCCCAGGCTTTGGACAGAGCTGGAGACGCCGTGGCTGGGGATGCTGAGAAGACACTGGAGAAGATGAAGGTGCTTGTGGCCATGAATGTCATGGCTTTTACCATGGGCATGCTCACCTTTTCTTGTTGCCATTGTTGTCCAGCAAAAGCATAATCAGCGTCATCATTATCATCATCATCATCGTCGTCGTCATCACCACCATGACCATCATCGCCATCACCACCATGATCATGATCATGATGATCATCATCATCCCTTGTTGCTGGTGTTGCGGTTGCTGTTGCTGTTGCTGTATTTGTTGTTGTTGTTGTCGTTGTCGTTGTCGTTGTCGTTGTTGTTGTTGTTGTTGAAACCGCCGCCGGTTTCTGTGACCCAAGGCCCCCCCCCCCCTCCCCCTTTCGCTCCCGGAGGAGGGGGAAGGGGGGGAAGGAGGGGGGGGGGGGAGGGGGGCGTGGGTCGCAGAATCCGACGCTGCCTTCTTGTTGTTGTTGTTGCTGCTGTTGTGTTTGTTGTTGTTGTTGTTGTTGGTGGTGGTGGCGGGGGTGTCGGTGGTGGTGGTGGTGGTGGTGGTGGCGCTGTTGGTGCTGTTGGTGTTGTTGGTGTTGCTGTGTCACGCTGGTGTTGCTGCTGTTTTTGTTGTTGTTGCTATCCTCGGCGAAACCCATGACTATGGTGATAACGCCGCGTTGATTGCATGCGACGGCCTATTCTCATTGCCACTGCAGTAAGCTCCCAGGATGATGTGGCCAACTCGCTCGAGGCATCCAAAGATGATGGTGGTGGCAATGCTGCCGTGGAAGCTGCAAAGGCGTAGAACATGATTTAATATTGTGGCTTGAACCTCATGATGTCGACTTGAGTCGACTTGCTTCTTCTTCTCGAAGTCAGGAGGAGGAAGACACGGGAGATCCCCCAGACGTGGATGACGAGCTGCCTGGGCCTTTTTACACTCGAGCCTGGTTTTTGGGCTTAGTGCTCGCGGCCTTCGTGGGGGTGACCTCCTACACTGCCCTTCGGCTGCAAGTGCAGACAGCATGGCATCGCGTCATCACATGCTGCCCGGAAATCCCTACTGTACCTCATCGATGTTCATGGCACCCCTCTCGAAAATCCCAGCTGTGGAGCAGCCCATTGCCTCGATGAGCAGCAGCTAGGACAGAGCAGGGCCTGGTAGGGCAGGGACGGCTAAGACTAAACACCCCCCGATGCGAGGTTTTGCAGGTCAGGGCTGCCTCGGACTCGAAAGGCTCGGACGAGGACGAACTCGAGCGGACGTACGCTTATCCCTCAGATCCTATCAACGTTGGATTTCCAACCATGCTCTCGAACAAGTTGATGAGGCGCACGACCCCAGGGCACCAGTTCCTGCGGATGGCAAGGGTGGAAAGAGCAAAGGGAAGGGTGCCCAGGCAAGTGAGTTCGTCTGCTTGGGAGGTTTGTATCTTCGTAGGTAGCATGGTTGAGGTTCGAGTGCTTTGGAATTCCAGACTAGTACCGTCAATGCTGCGCAGAAGGTACAGCGAGAAGTTTCGGTGGGATAGTCTGGGTCGTTCTGTGAAAGGACCCCTCCTGTAACTTAGAACCTGCGCTTGGATAAAGCCGATAGATTCACGATGCATGTTTTGCAGTGTTTCGAAGCATTCAGAACTTCTGCGAGAATTGCGCAGGCAGCTGCTGCGTGAGGTGGAATGGACTGACCTGTGACGTATTGCACATGCAGGTTAGGTGACAGCCGGGCTGCTACGCCGTGGGTGTTTGAAGGCATCGAGTCACGATCCTCGGATCGGGCACAGAGCCATCGCGAAAGAATCTGCTCCAAAGTGAGCATCGTTTCATCTCACCGTTTTCTGGCTGTCGGTTTGCGCGCGAACGGCCGATAGACATCTCTGACCAGATCTGCACGACAAGTTCAGTTGCATCAGTAGAGCTGCAAAGGTCCATGGTCCGAAGAGCCCTGCAACATAGGCTTTCACTTTGCTTGGATGAAAGCATGGACAGGTTTCAAGTGCAGATTGCACAGCAGATACAGCAGCTGGCGGTGCAGCAACAACAGCAGCAGGCGCGGACCATCTACTCGTGCCGTGCAGGACTTACCATGCAGACTGTTGCGAATTCAATTTCGGAGTGCTACATCGTCGCAGGCCATGCATCAGTGGCTGCTGCAGCAGGCTGCCTCTGTAGAAGCTCTGCTGAACAAATCGAACCCGGATCTCTTTGCAGGTTTTGGCGCAGCAGCAGGAGCAGAAAGTTGGGGACCTGACACCGGCAGCTCCATACAGCTCCCACAGCTTCCTCACCACATTTCCAAAGGCCTTGCTTCAGCAACGCGCTGCGACTGCGTGTTCTGAAGGCCCAGGGGCAGAGCACATCGAAGGAAGCTAGGATCAAGGAGCATGGACGCAGCTCCAGCAGTCCCGCATCAACTTCTGGTGTATGAGTTTGGAGTTCAGGTGTGTTTGCTGATGTTTGCGGCGTGGTTGCTTGCGGCTTTCGATGGCTTTTTTCAATCAATATAAAAGGCTAGAACCTAAAGCCCTCTAAAAACGCCCTTGTCGAGCTTCAGTTGATCCAGAAATTGTGTCGTGTACGTGTACGATACAAGCCCAAATACTTCCTGATGAGCATCCAGTGGCGTGCTATCACGTTGGTGTCGTAAGGCCTCTGAAATCGACTGTGTCCCATGATGGCCTTGTTGTCCAACGGGGGTCTTGCGCGGGCCTCGCATGCAGCCAGGCGACGGCACGCCAGCTGCCAAAGGGCATCTCGGCAGCATTTGCATTTGCTGATTTTGCTGGCTCGTGCCCTTGCCTATCTGCATCCGTGCCCCGTGGCACAGAATGCTGCCACACTTCTTTGCCAGGGGCTCTCGCAGCACTCCTGGCGCACCCTGTGCGCAGTGGCCGCAGGCCGGGTGCCAGTGCAAAGCAACAAACACAACAGTTCGGAGGTGCTGAGGTAACAGTGAAGATTTCAAGTTCAGTGGCTTCCGCCAGGTGCAAATACCACCACCCAGCGGTCGGCATCCTGCAGTGCAGCAGCAAAGCAACTTGCTGCAGTTGCCTCCTCTGCTCCCCGGCCAGCAGCCTCCAGTTTCAGTCGCCAAGGGTAGAGAAGCTCTTCGCTCCCTGACGTGCCCTCTAAGGCTGCACAGCCTGCCGGCCCGGACGCAGCCTTCCGCATGCAACCGATTGCCGGAAGCCCATTTCATCTCTCAATTTCCGTCTGTCTCCGTTGCCTCTCAGTTATGTTTTCTCAGTCCGTCTTCTCCTTCACAGCATTCAGAAGGAGCTTGTTTTTTGATCCTGCAAGATTGCTGCTGCTGAAAGGCCGCAGCCTCCAGTGAGTCAGAAGACTCAGGCACCGGGATCACTGCCTCGATGTAATTACCCGTTTGCTCATGCACCCTTTCGGAAGTCTGAGTTGTGACAGTTCGAAGGAGCACAGCTACATTACGGGGCTACGGCTGCGGTGGAGAGACAGCACAAACCACACCCAAATTCAACAATCAGGAGAAGGGCCGACCGCTGATGGAGCCACCAAGTGAAGAAGCTGAGTACGAGGCAACCGGTGGCAATTATTCATGTTTCAGCATCTCGGAGAAGAGATCTGGGAGGTGGCTTCAGAGGAAAAGCGGGAGGAAGCAGAAAGGCGCGACTGCCTGTCCGAAGAAAGCCGCAGCACCGAGCGCATAGCCAGTGCTGCTGTCTTGGGAAGGTCGCTGACTCTGATTGCTCCAGGTCTGAGACGACGGTGGCGCCCGAGGCATCACCCGAGGTGCAGGCGCGTCCAAAGAACACACGAGAGGGCGCTTGGCAAAAGGGGCCCGGCCCGTTGCTTTGGCCACTCTTCTGGTCTGTGAGGCTGAAGCCAGTGACGCTTCGCCCGAAGCCAAGGGCGACCCCGAGGCGGACAAGGCGACGGCGGCGACGGGACCCAGATACCCAGCTGAGGCTTGAGGTCTTTTCAAGCGCCAGGAGTCCAAGGAGCTGGAGCAGACGGAGCAGGAGAGCAGCACAAAGCATGCTGAAGAGAAGAACTCCTTTGTGGAGGCGGATGCTTTCTCAAGCACGTTCGATGACTCTTCGTTGTTGGGTCGTCAGTCTGCCCTTGACAGGTGGAATCGGTGACAGAGGATCCGGTGAAGGAAGAGCTTCGAAAGGAGCCCGAGAGTCTCGAAGCACCAAGAGGGCCTGGCCGGACTGGCCGGAGCAGGGCCTTGAGGCGGCCAGAGCGGCCAGTCCGCAGAGGCAAGGCCGGACCGAGACACAGCGAGGCCGAGGCCCTCCCGGAGGAGGTTTTTCCCGCAGAGGAGCGAGCGCCACAGGCTTGGAAGCTGAGGGGCAAGATGAGCATGAGGACGAGTGGTGCCCAAACCCAAAGCGGAAGTGGCAAGAGTGCCAAGAGCACGGCTTCCACGGGGCCCACAGCCTGGAAGTGGAGGCCCACGGTGCCACAGTCGGAGAGATAAAGCCTCTGTAAAGTGTTCTTCGTTTTCCCAGCTGAGCTGTCAGCACTGCTTGAGCTTGAAAGCTGGCTAATGTGTACAATATGTGACTGCAAGGGACCACGTTTCAGTTCCTTTGAAGCATCTTGATGGTGCCATGTAAATGCGATGAAAGGAGCAGCCTCGAAGCTATGGTGCAATCAGGTCAAGGAAGGCTTCCTGAAGATTGGCCTAGCGTAGATGCCATGCCATTGCGGCTTCCAGGCTCTTTCCCAGCTCCTGGGAGACTTCCCGAGTCGAAAGCGATCGGACAGTGCCATCTTCACCCCGTCAAGTCTCGGCGAGATTATACATGTCCTGTTGCGCTCGCCAAGAGAGGCTCAGCCCTGCCAGCTTGAAGAGCGAGAACACATGCTACCTGCATTCGGAAGGCTCTGGAGCAGGCAACTGGACAGCCCGGGCAAGGGTCAGCGAGCGAAAAGAGAGCAGCACAGGAAAGTCTTGAGTTTTCCTACCTTGCGATGCTTAGCATGCAGATGCCTCTGTAGCCTCGACGCAGCAGGCGCCCACGTCACCACATCGTCCTAGGTCCTAGGCAGTACCGCTCGAACATGGGCTCGCAGCTGCCTTTTACACGCTCAGTAGGCCCACGTGCAGAGGTGAAGTGTACACTGTCCACTGTATGCCACGACATCAACTCGCAGGCATAGTGCTCGCGCTTTGAACTGCGGTTGCGATGGCATGAACAAACGAAAGCAGCGCCCTTTGGGTCAGTCGACATGGCCGCCTGACATGGCCGCGTAGCGAAGGCGACGGAGTCTGCAGCTGGCTTGGACGACCGAGCTAAATGGAATTTCGCATGTGTTCCAGCTCAGGCAAGGCAGCTATGCGAATTTTCGCCGTGCACGGTTGTGCCGCGTGCTTTGAGACATGCGGCCTTGCAAGAGACGTTTGTTCTAAGATTTGTCAAAGTGGAGGCCTCCGCAGTTCGAACTCTGCAGGCCAGAGCGTTGACCAGGCCGAGCTACACGACATTTCTGAAGCCTTAAGACGCAAGCGAGCATCCAGCTTCACTGTTGGCATAGCCATGCAGTCCATCATGTCTCCTGCAGTAACCTTTTGGATGTTGCATGCTTCACAGTTTCTGTCACTCGAAAGTGTCATTGCGTGCGGAAACAGCGCCCACGCTCTGCTAAACCCGATAAACCCGCTAAACCCACTTCACTAAACCCGATAAACCCGCAGTCGGCGCAATTCAGCAATCAGCGCAATTCAGCGCAGTCTGCGCAATTCAGCGCAGTCGGCGCAAAAGTCAGCGCAATTCGGCGCAATCAGCGCAAGTCAGCGCATTCAGCGTAATCCCGTAATTCCAGGGCAATCGGCATCCAGCGCATGGCCAGCATGTGGACATGCACTGTGCCCGCGTGCCCTGCATGGAAAGTGTGCCGCACGCCATATGTGTTCAGTCACTTGTTTTGCGCATTTGTGTTATGGCTTCCCTTCGTCATGCTGCTGGAAGTTGCGGGATGTTTGGCATATGCCTCCTACCTGGGTGGGATAGGGGTTCAAAAGCAAATTAGAAAAGGATCAATAAAATATTACATAAATATAAGGATGAAAAAAATTAAATAAGGATCAAAAAAATTAAACCACAATTTGTGGGATTTTCCTATTTAAAACCTATTGAAAGTCTACAGAAGGAGGCATCGACAAAATTAAATATGGATCCAAAAAAGCAGCCCACAAAACCTCTTCCAATCCTATTGAAAGTCCAGAGAAGGAGGACAAGAAAGAAAGAACGAAAAAAAGAAAGAAAGAAAGGAAGAAAGAACGAGACAAAGACAGAAAGAACGAAAGAAAGAAAGAAAGAAAGAATGAAAGAAAGAAAGTAATAAAGAAAGAACAAAAGAAATAACAAAAGATAAACAGAAAGAAAGAACACAAGAACAAAAGAAATAACTATAGAAAGAACACAAGAACAAAAGAAATAAACATTGAAAATAAAACAGAAAGAAAGAAATAAATAAAGCACCAAAGACAGAAAGGAATAAACAAACACATAAATAAAGAAAGAAAGAACAAAGGAAATAAATCAATAAATACAATAAAAGAAATAACAAAAGAACAAAAGAAAGAAGGAAAGAAAGAAAGAACCAAAGACAGAAAGAAGGAAAGACACAAAGACAGAAATAAAGAAAGAGGCTGC